GTTATAAAAAAAAATTTTTTTTTTTTTTTTAAATTGTTTTAAATAATAAAATTAAATAAATAATAAATAAAAGTTATATATTCTATTTTTATATATTATTGTCTTGTGCTATGATAACTTGAGAAACCAGTAGATCCTTAATTTCTCTATCATGATAAAGCTTTAAACGGTCACCATGAACTGGATCTTTAACTTTTTTGCTATCAAAAGTTTTTAGTTTATAAACACCAAATTCTAATATATCATGAATTATATAAGGGTCTATAAATTTTTCTTCTAATTTGGCAGAAAAAATATTTTTAAGAAAAGATTTCGCAACTAAAACCTTATCACCTATTTTTAATTTATCAATTTTAATGTTTTTGTTATGATATTCTTTTTGTGATTTTTGTGCTTCTTGTATATTTTCTAAGGCTTCATCTTGCTGTTTTAATAGAACATTCTCTATTTCAAAAGATCTTTTTAAGAGAGCTTCTTGAAATAATTTATCTTCCTTATAATAAGTTTCTACAATTGTTTCTATAGGTAATTTTGCATCACGTCCATATATAAGGGAGAAAGTTGTAAATTTGTTGTATCATATTTTATAGTGCGGTAAGCTAATAATACAGAAGGAAGAACTTCATCTCACTCCTTGTATTTATAGCTTGTTATTTTTGCAAGAGCTTCTCCCATAGTATGGTTAAATCGTTCAATTATTCCATTTGTTTGTGAATGGTAAGTAGATAATTTATGATGTTTTATTTGAAAGTTATTACACAATTCCTTTACAATATCATTTAGAAAATTTGTTCCTCGATCAAATAGCAATATTGTAGGTGTTCCATGTTGACAAATAATATCTTCATATATAAATTTAGCAACGGTTATAGCTTTTATGTCGGCTATAGCTCTTGCTTCTAGCTATTTAGTTAAATAATCCATAGCCACAATAATATATATATTATCTTGTTTAGTTGGAGGTAGAGGTCCTTTAATATCAATTCCAACTCTATGGAAAGGATATTTTACTTCCAAAGGAAGTAGATCTTGTCGTCTAACTTCATGTCCTCTTTGTTGGCAAATATCACATGTTTGAATGTAATTTTTGATATTATTGTACATAGTGGGCCAATAATATCTTTCTTTTATTTTATTAAAAGTAGATGAAATGTCTAAGTGTACTCCTTGTTTATCATATAAAGTGTATAAGATGAGATGTTTTTGGTCTGGTTTGATTACTCATTGGGGCTTGTCTTTATTTCTTTTATATAGCTTGTTATTTTCTATAAAGTAATGTTTTGCTTCTTTTTAGATTCAAGATTTGTTCATATTAGAGATGTTCAAGTCAAATTGTAGGGAAGAAAGGTATTGATATAGCTGATTATATAGTTTGCTATCTATTATCTTTTAAGTATTCTGGTAGGCGAGATAGAAAATTAGCATTTTTGTTTTGGCTACCAGCTCAATATTTAATATTAAATTGGTATTCTTGGAGAGTCATCCTCCATCAGGTTATCTGTTTATTGTCATTAATTGTATAAGAGTTTAACAACCATTGTAGTACCTTGTGATCTGTTATTAAAGTAAATCTCATTCTATAGATATAATGTCTGAAATATTTGACAGCTCAAACAACTGCTAAATATTCTAATTCAACAATACTATAATTTGTTTCAGCAGGAGTTAAGGTTCGGCTAGCATAAACAATTGCATACTCTTTACCATCTTTGATTTGAGAGAGAACTGCACCTAGTCCTTGGTAAGAAGCATCAGTAAAAAGAATAAAAGGTTCAGAGTAATCAGGATATTGTAATATAGGAGAATGTGTTAGACAATGTTTTAACCAACTAAAAATCTCATCTTGGGGCTTTCCCCAAATAAAAAGTTCATCTCTTTTTAATAATTTTAACAATGGTCCAGCTCTCTTAAAAAATTCTTTAATAAAACATCTATAATAAGATGCTAACCCTAAGAAAGCTCTAAGCTAAATAAGGTTTTTGGGAGGAGAAAGATCATTTAGTTTATCAACCTTTTGAGAATCTGGCCTAATTCCTTTAATTCCAATTATATGCCCAAGAAACTGTATTTCATTAGTACAAAAATGGCATTAATATGAAGTTTGGCTTGTATTATTAAACTAAATACTTCCTGAATATCTAATATATATTGTTTAAATGAATCTGAATATATATTTATATCATCAATGTAAACCATAGCCTTTTTCCAAAGAACAGGTCTTAGTACTATATCTATAAGCCTTTGAAAAGTAGAAGGAGTATTACATAATCCAAAAGGCATTACATTGAATTCATATAAGCCATATTTGGTAACAAAAGCAGTTTTTTCCTTATCTTCCTCTTTAACTTCTACTTGCCAATATCCAGAAGTTAAATCTAAAGATATAAACCATTAAGTATTACCAAAATTATCAAGCATTTCATCAATCCTTGGTAATGGGTAAGTATCCTTTTTTGTTATATTGTTTAGTTTTTTAAAATCTACACAAAATCTTAACTTGCTATTTTTCTTTTTAACAAGAACAACTGGAGAGCTCCAAGGGCTTTCAGATTTTCGAATAATACCATCCTTTTCCATTTGTAAAATTTCTTTTTTAATACACTCTTGTTCCATTGGTGAGGCTCAGTAAGTTCTTTGTTTAATAGAATAAGAATTACCTGTATTGATAGTATGATATACAATATTGGTTTTACTTAATTCAGAAAAAGTAGTAGCAAAAATATCTGCATTGTCATGAAGTAGTTGTGTTATAATTTGTTGTTGACTATTATTTAATATATGTCTAATAAAGGTTGATTTATTCTCAGTAATATAGAAACTTTTTGGGCTTCTTTTCTCTTGTCTTTTATTTTATTTATCTCTGGTTGGATTAGTTTAAATATATCTGGAAGAGGGGAATTTAAAGGATTGTTAACATTTTCTATTTTAATATTTGCTATAAGTTGTTCATCAAGTTGGGAAAAGGTATTTCCAACTTGAATAGTAGTATAAATTGGCTCCATAGGTTCATCATTTTCTAATTCCAACTCCAGTTTCTGATTAGAATATAGATTTTTAAAGTTAATTGGATATACTGTATTAGGGTCTTCTATTTATTGTTTACAAAATATTGGGATATATTCTACTTGGTCATCTATTCCAATACTTATATATTCACCATAATAGTCAATAGTGGCTTGAACTTGATCCAAATATTTATTACCAAGTACTGCATTATATTCTTTAGATTCAGTTACTAACATATCTATATATATTAATTTGGTGCTAAGTAAAACAGATGCATTTTTAACATACCCTAATGGAGTAGTTTTATTACTAGTAATAACAACAACTCTAATATTACTAGGTTCATCTATTCTACGATTAACTTTATCAAGAAAATGTTTAGCTACAACATATCCTTTAGAGCCAGAATCAATCAAAACATTAATTGTAACTCCCAAGATCTTAGCAATAGTAAATAAAGCATCTTTAACCTGATTTGTTTGAACAATATTGTCTATATTATAATTAATTTCACCTGTATTCAATCTGAGTATTTTTATTGTTTCATTATACTCAGTCCAAAGATTATGAAATTGGTTTTCTAAGTTATTACTATTATCATCCTTTTTATCTAACAATTCATCTATTTCATCCAACAAAAATGAGTATATTATTTCTTCTTCATTGAATGAGGGGTTTTGGTTTTGGGTATGCTCACTCTCTGGAGATACCACTTCTAGTTTAAATGCTAATATTGGTTATTGTTATTATTGTTATTATTATTGTTATTATTATTGTTATTATTATTGTTATTATTATTATTGTTGTTATTGTTGTTATTATTAGGAGGAGGTGGATTATTATTGTTGTTATTTGTTATTATTATTTCGACAATTGTTATTGTTGTTGTTCTAATTATTACGATTATTATTATTACAGTTATTGTTGTTATTACGGTTATTGTTATTTCTATTATTGTTGTTGTTCTAATTATTGTTGTTTTGATTATTGTTGTTATTCCAATTATTATTATACTGATTATTGTTATTATTCCAGTTATTATTGTTTTGGTTATTGTTATTATTTCAATTATTATTATACTGATTATTGTTATTGTTCCAATTATAATTGTTGTTGTGGTTGTTATTGTTATAGTTATTGTTGTTAGGTCTCTAATTTTGATTTAGTTGATAATTTCTAGCTACATGTCCTATTTGTTGGCAGTTATTGCAATAAGGAGCATTACAATTAGATACAAAGTGTCCTGGTTGGTTACATCTAAAGCAATTATTATTTTGTTGCCAAGGTGGTCTATAATTGTTATTATTATTATAATTATTGTTATTATAATTATTGGTTTGGTTTTGGTTTTGAAAAGATTGATTTTGTTGTTGGTTTTGCTGCATATTTCTAACTATATATTGTGCAACTTCTATTAACTCTTTACATTTACTAGTTTGTGGTTGAGTAAGAGCTGCTAAATGAGCAGAAGTAGTATATCCTCCATAGAACTGTAGTTGAAACGAAGTAGGCAGAAGTGAATAAGCAGAAAGAGCACCTCCTTTAGAGTAGGCTACTTCAATAGCTCTGGCTTTGTTTACGGCTTGATTAAGAGTAATAGAGCTTTCAGATTGTACTGGGATTTGAAATTCCTGACGAAGACCATCAACAAATTGTCTAACTTTGTCCATTTCCGGGTAGTTATTTTCTGGATCTACTCTGCACCATAATTCATTAAGAGCAGAATTATATGCATCTATAGTTTCACTAGCTTTTTGCTTTCTACTTCGAAGAGTATAATGCCATTGAGTTACTTTAAAAGGGTTACAGAATTTTTGTTTAAATAGATTTGTAAAAGCACAAGTAGGATGGATATTACTTTTCCAAACTTGAAAATTATCTTTGTTTTGATTATACCAAGAAAGAGCATTTCCTTTGAGAAAATTTGATACAATTGCTAGCCTTCTAGTTTTATTTATATTATTACCAACACATACTTTAGTAAAGGCTTTAATTCATTCTATTGGGTTTTTATCATTATCTTCTAAAAAAATAAAAAAGTCAATTAATTTATACTCTTTAGGATTTGTTGTTGCTATTGCAGCTTGGGCAGCATTACTTTCAAACATTTCATTTATGCCTCTTAAAAGTGTTTGAAGTGCTTGTTGGTTATCAAATTCAGAAGGAGGGGTTTGTTGTCGATTTTGTGCTTGGTGTTGATGCATATTGGTAAAGTTAACTGGTGCTCTACGATCTTCAACTATTCAATGAGAATCATCAGGAATATATATATTAGTTTGTTCTTCTACAGTTGGTCTATTATTTATATGAGTAATATGTGGATAATTTCTTTCTGATCTTGTATGTTGAGACATATTTCTTCTTTGATTAATAGTATTAAAGTAAGCTTCTTCAAAATTTAAAGATTCAATATCTTTATTTTAATTAGCTTATAGGAGGATTTTGAGAAGTTGATACCAAAGGTGTTCCTGTAGGTTCCAGATTGTGCTTTAGTTGTCCAATAATAGTTTTGGCTCGGCTTATACCTTGTTGAATTTGCCTGTTTGCTTTTTCAAATTTTTTATTTAATTTATTTACAGAAGGGTTAGTTAAAAGAAACTCTGAATATGAAATTTCAAGTCTAGATTCAGTATTAGTTTCCTGATTAGATTTTTCAAAATTTTCAGGTGAATTGTTAAATTTATTTGTTGCTATCTACTTAGCTTTTACTTCTGGTATTATTTGATTAAACTATTTAGATGGTTGATTATTATTATATCAAATAGTAGTTAATAACAAATAAATAAGAGTTTCAAAAAATTGTTTGTCCTTTACAGATTGATATGCCTCTTCAAAAGTATTAACAGTTATACAAGTAAAATAGATCATCAGCAAAAAAAATAGACCGATATATATCGATTACTAGCCGGGTAATTATATATTGATACCAATCACCCCTGCCGATTATACACGATCGTGATAGTAATCGATATATAGCGAATTCGTTTACTAGCGGTAAT